AAAATCTTATGTAACTGTAAACAAGAAGTTCTTTCCAGTTGTGCAGGGATCCTTGCCTTGACTCCAGGTGCTAAGCTGTGCTTGAGTAGCAGGTATATGTTCCCGTTCAGGACTGCTGAGGGGCGTTTTGTGCAGGGGCTAGAGCTGACGCTCGGGTACCTAGCACTGCTCAACAACTTACCTCTGCTGGCCACAAATACCTGCAAATAACTAATGTCGCTTGACCTTTAAAAGCAGTCAGAGAACACTCTGACAAACAAAAGTGACTCTAATAAACATAAGATGAAAGACAAAATACCTAAAGTTAAGTAAGAAAAACAAACTAGAAGAAGAACAGAGGAAAAAAAAAACATGCAGAACAAGGAAATCTTCCAACTCCACTGTTTCCACAAGCTCCTATTTCCCTCTGTCACTACCTGGTCTGGAGTGACACTGTGTGTTCAAAGCACTACAGCTACAACAATGGCATTAGCTTGTGGTAAAAATGTCCCTGTTGCTTGCAGCTAACAACAGTGTTTAGTGCCTTTGATTTAGGCAGCTTGCAATGACACCGACACAGCTGAACACAAAACTTGCACGATTATATTAAGAAAAAATATATATTTCTCTGTGTAATATCATCTGAAATTTAACACTAAAAATAGGGGAAAACAAAAAAAAAAGATTTAAACAATTTTATCAGTGGCCGATTTATTTCTGCCTCTTGCCCTCTCCGGTCGCGGTTCAGTGCAGCCCATAAATAAGTCAGGCTGGTGAAGAAAATTCAATTTTTGAGGCTGCAGGAGCAGTGGAGGAGCTGAAGTGCAGGGGCTCACAACATCTCCTCGAAGGACACGGGCTCCCACAGCCACTATCAGGGGCCTGTGTGGCTTTTCCAGAGGCAGACACGGCCCACCGCACTAACACATTTAACTGCTTTATGCTCCTTTGTGCTGCAAAAGGACAGGCCCGGCACGTGCTCCGCGCTCCATCACTCTGGCAGTACAAAAGTAAGGCTAAGGCAGCGAGCTACATTAATTACAATACACACCAACACGTATCAGCAAAATTGAGGTTTCCAAGTAAGTTCAATTTTCTCTCAGGAACCGTTTTCCACTATTCGCATCCCATTAGATCTAGGAGTTAAGGAGGTTCCGAAAAACGTGGAAGCAGAGCCGTTAAGCGGCCAGTTTTCCCAGGACGGCGCCTTCCAGAACCTTCGYACGGCCACGCGGCTCCTCATGGCGGCGCCTCGCACGCGTCTCCAGCGGGAGGCGCCGTAGTGCTCGGAGCCACAAAATGGCCGCCGGGCAGCAGTTGTTGCTAATTACGACAATTACCATCACAATCCCGTACCAACGAAGAGCGAGACTTGGCCAGGGCTCTGCTGAAGCAGCTGGGGGGGGTCTAATGCCAGCGATGTTGCCTGAAGCGGCCTGGCCTCAGGCCCAGCTTCCCCCGGACCGCCCTCACAGCACCCAGGCACCAGACAGGTGCTAGTCAGTGACCATTGCTCACGAAAATAAAGCTTTCTTTTGAGGGAAAAAAAAAAATGCGGGGAGAGAGATATGATTAAAAAGCCACCAACTACCATTTCAACCCACATTCCAACTTTTTGCAAAGTCAGTCTGTAAAAAACATCTTTCTTGAGAAAATATGGCAGCAACTAACACACACAAAAAAGCATTTCTTCAAAATGGAGTAACACGTACATTACCCTCTAGCCCATCATGCAGTGAAAAGTTGCCAATAGCACCAAATATAAACAAGAAAATGTAATATTTTGTTGCATCTAGTCAACACATCAACCAAGAAGAACTGAATGCTGGAATTCAGCATTACCAGTTATTCATAAATAATTGATTTTTCCGTTTAAATATTTAATGCTACGGACTCATCAGCATCTGCTTTATAACAGATGCTCCTCGCAGCACCTCATGCTCTGCTCCCGCTACATCTCAGTGCAAGAGGGATCAATAACTTGGACATATGACGTTAAAGCAGAGATTTAGCAAAAGCAGCTGCGCTACTCATTAACCACCACCTCCCTTGGAGCTGCTCCAGGAGGGGACAGACAGCTGGTCATGTGTCCCCCGGGTCCAGACCACTGCTTCCTTCCTGGTATTTGGACTCTTTCTCCATGACCATCAGTGTTACTTGCCAGTTTATGTTGTCTCTCTGCAATTCCTGAAAGAAAATCTTAAAAAAATCTAGAGGTTTTTTTTTGTCAGTTTTGGTTTGGTTGCAAATCTTCACCCATAGCAATTGGGAGGGCTGCTGCAGGCGTCTACCTTGGCCAGGTTTTTCATGGCCACAAGCACTTACTGTGAGCTTGCAAGGTGCATGCAGCCATCTGGAAGCCAGAGCACCTGCAGGACTGGCTTTTGAATAGCTTTTCCTTGCAGTTCTACAGATGGTTAAGCAGCTCGCACAACAGACAGGGTGCTTAGGATTTATATTGATAACATTTCCCAAATGGCATTTCTCAGATGATGCAGAGACTATTTTACTTGTAGATCTTTGGTGGAAGAGGCTAACAAGCCCGACAGAGACTTTTCTAGAGAACAAACAAGGATCCCAAGCAGTACACTTCCTTTAAAAATAAGTGGGCATAAAAACTACAAATACAGTGTAACATGAATTATTTACTGCTTAAAATTCCTCACAAAATAAGGGACTATATATAAACACTGCATAGAATCAGATGGGATTCATCACTATTCTCTGGTTTGCACAGAATGAATTTACTGTTTTTGGAGAAAATTAATATTTGGCATCCACAGATTATCAGATCTTTGAAACTCAGAACAACATTTCTGTAATGAGACTCTTATGAAAGTCCTCCACTTTAASGACTAATGACATTAAATAAAAGGGAAGATGAGTCACACAGAAGCAGTTATATTTTACAAGCCGAGAGAAGTAACTGGCTTTGCCAAAGTCACTGTCTCACCAGTGGAACATAAAAGGTACTGGCTCAAGCCTCCGGCCTATTCCAGAGAGGGTGGGAGAGGACAAGGAATCACATCTGATTCCTTACCAAACATCAAGGAAGTTTTACAAATAGTTTGCAAAGCACAGACATGGTTAAAATATATCATGGCATATTGGTGTGCCGAGAACACAACATGGAAAAACAGCACACATTTGCATATATGCATTTAAATTTTAGCCATACTCAYAATCCTTAAGAACTCTYGAGACATAGTCCATAGTCTTTGTGTTCCTAATAAAATTCCGTAGATTCAGGATATTCCCAGAACAATTAATTTATTTCTAACATAGAAGACATTTTGAAACTATTTTTTCTTTCATCCCACATATTAGCAAAGGACACCCTTGAGCAGTAAGTGTATGTTCGTGACGTTGCTTGCAAGTTCTTATAGAAAAAAAGTAAAATTAAGCCAAACTTAAAATATTTTGCATAGAAGTTGAACATTGAATCATATATTATCTTTAAATTGACATTTTTAGAAACTATTGCATAAATAAAAAAACACTACTATCTAGCCACATATAGCATGAATAATCTTCCTAATACATACGCAGATGTAAAACAGATAAATCCAATGTTTTCCTGTGAAATAAATGCATTCATCTTTTAAAAATAATGGAAATATTTATCTTTGAGCAAATCTATTTCACAGACCATTAAACCAAAATCTGTAGGCTTGACACTACGACCCTTTTAAACACTTAAAAGATTAATTCCTGCCTTTCATCTCAAATTATATTGCTGGGAATCCCAAATACCACCTAGCTTATAGACTTTACTGGACCATAACCGAAACCTCACATCTCTCTCTCCAYAGCATCCCTGCCCCCTTTTCCTTCCAGCTTGATGTATATACATATACATAAATGCATGTGGGCCTTCATACAAGCTATATATTCTGGGCGTGTTTTGGGGGATATAAGCTCAAATATAAAATTTGTTTAATCTTTCAATGGGCAACTCACTTTAGAATATATTCATAATTGACAAGTGTCATAGTGCAGAAACAGGAGAACTGCTACAGAACTATGGGGTGTTAATGAGCAAAAGAAAATCGTATTTTTTAATATTAAAAAGATCTGCCAATCAAATAACAAAACACTGTTTTAAATAGGWATGATGTAGCAGATAAGAGAGCACTTAAGAGTTCTAATATATAAACAGATACAGTACATTCCTTCAGGATGTTGCCATACTTACGGTTTGAAACCTTCTTATCAAGTTATGTATGAATTAAGGTCTTCTTATATCCTTCAAATGTATCAAAGCTTTTCTAAATGTCTATATGTAATTGATAAATTAAGAAATGAAAATTTGAGTACAATGCCCAATTCATATCATACATTCCCCACTGACATTTTTTATATGTTCAAATCTATTTTGTTCTTGAGCTAYACGATACACATGTAGGTAGCATATATGAGGAATTTTCCAACTTAACACATACTCAGGTTTGTAACAGAACTACAAATAACTGTTTTTTGCAGTACTGAACATTGTCAAGAGAGTGAATGCTTTTCTAAAAGCTTCCCTAATCATATTGTAGATAAATATTCTGTTCTTTTAAACAGTCTGTTTATGTGAATACTGATGACTAAATATCAATGTGATATGCAATATACACTTCAGTTATTATCTTTTCTATCAAAATAAGCCTGAGTTTTAGGTTACATCATAAACTCTGAAAAATGTGATTTACTGAGCATATGCAGTAGCCTGACTGCATGTCAGGTTTCAATTTCAGTAGATCAGGAGGATGCTATCATTATTCCTGATATTTTCCAAATGGCAGTAAGGTCTGCCTCCAATAGCCTTGCCAAGCTGGGACATTAATTACAGTCTAATCTTGGGGAATACAACTCAAACACAAAGGATAGAGGAAAAAGGAAAAAAAATCTGTATTTACATCAGAAGAATATAAATTTAAAATATTCCCAAAGTGCAGTTTAAAAACAAATCTGCATTGCCGTAAATTGTAAATATTAAGATACCTTTTCATTTGCTTTTACCACTATAAGTGAACATCAGACAAAGTAAATCCAGGGCCAGAATCATTTATATCTTGATTTTATCAGCCAAAAGGAGCATATAGTATTACAAACAATATGCTTTATTTTTCATCCTACTGACAAGGTTTTGTTGAATTAGATAACTTTATGTATTGCCCAAACCATTAGTCACAAGRAATTTTTTTACAAGTATTATTTAATTTTTACAAGAACAATAATCAATTAATCTGTAGGTGAGCACTATTCCATAAAAACTGTAAGGACAGTTCTGAATGATGCCTGCTGAGGCAGTTAGCAACTGTAAACTCATGAAGACCCCACCGCACAACCATTTTAGGAATCTTCCTCCATGGCCACATCCTCTTGCAGCTTCTGCACCATTTTGTCCTCCAGCTGTTTTGGTTTGGCTAGAAAAAAAAAGGGGGGAGGAGGAGAGAATTAAATTATTAAATTGAAAAATGTCACCTTAAACCCAGATAATTTTTTTTTAAATAATGTAGAAAGAAATGTCATAATTATTCATCTGTAGTCAGTCATTCCAAAAGAAAAGTTCTTCATAATACTGTATGCACAAGTTAATCTCAGCAAATGAGGTAAACTGAGTACTTACCTGCATGTGGAGCACGAAGAAGGTGGATATTCTGTTTGACTTCCTTGATGTCTTCTGCTTTCTGCAACTCTTTGCTCTTCTTTAATCTGAGAAGGGGGTATGAAGGGAATAAACAGGATTAAATTACCTCCAAAGAGGAAGAATATGTTTTCTGTTTTTACCACATTGCTTGGGCTTCTGTGTATGTACCAAGCAAATAACCCTCTAAAAGTTCTGATCATCTTAAGTATTGATCATCATATCTTCCGAAAGACTGAATGGCTAGTATGGATTTGCAAGAGCTCCCACAATACAAATTTCTCTCCTTACCTGTTCATAATAAATCTAGCTTGGCGTTTCTGCTTGATTTCTTCTACTCTCTTCATTGCATCAACTGAAACAAAGAAAAAGTTGTTTTTAGTGTGCTTACATATACACAATTGAAACATTATATTATTTCATATAGTCATATTTCAATATTGGATATGAAACCTCTACTTGAGATAAAACTGTTATACACTTCCTTCTTTAAAGGACAGAATATTTTGTGTACCGAACATAAACTACTTCCACTTTTATGCCTACACATATTTTCTACAGTTACCCATCACAACGGAAGACACTTATTCTAATGCAAATCAAATGCAAGCTACCATATTCMCTTTAGTGGCATTTATTTGGAACTAAACAATAAGTACCTCCTTCATCCTACACTGCTTGAGTTAAAACAAATTGAAGCAAAATGAGTAGAAACAAAGAAATAACTACATCAGCATAAAAGGTGTACACTGGCAGCCGAACCCCTGCACTTCTTCAAAGGCAATAGATACAAATAGATTAAAGATTCTAACTGTTTTCTAGAGGGGAAAATAAAACAAAAACAACTGTCATCTGCTCACAAGTCAACCCATCCTATGTTAAGGATTTTGTCATAATTCCAGTACTTTGAGAGAACAATCACTGCAAGTATCAATATTCTGATCAGTCTTCTGAAAACCCAAGCATGCAACAAATTTTCACTGCTCCCAGCTTGTCTTTTGTTTTCCCCTACGATGACTCACCAGTCTTGTTCCACAACTCTCTCTGATACTTCACTGGTTCATTTCTACGTTTTTCAAACTCAAAAGAATTATCCTATGTAAATAAAAAGGACATAAATATTACACACAGGAGCATACTTAGGKCAATATATACATATTGCAGCATTCATAATTATCAGATGTGATCATTTTTCTTTTAGAAATTCAATTGCTACACTTCAATGACCTTTGGAGATCAGCAAACTGGAAGGCAATATATCAGAATGCTCGACCTCAAAATGTCAGACACCACAGCGATTTCTCTGAAGAAAACTATTTACCACAATCTCTTTCTGGGTTATTTTCTTTCTAATGAGACAAAAGGAACAGTGAAGTCTGGAGTATGAAATAAAGACTACACTAGATATGTGTAAAACAAAAATGATAGCATAAAGAGCTGAAAACATGTACTGCAGTTCAAAGAAAGTTTTATTCAATAATCCATTATTTTGAAAAGTTCAAAAAGAAACACTGTCTTAAGAACATTAATGCAATGTTTCTTTTTGAATTTGCAATTTAATTCAAAGTGATGTTATGTACTTTTTAAGGGTTTGAGATATATTTTCAGCTAGGTATACTTAGTATACCTACTTAGGTATACTTACTTTAACTGAAGATCTTTCCCTGACAGGATATCTTTGTTTTATTGTAATGGTAAAGCACAGTATTAAATCAGCCAATAATGKTCACTTGAGCTAAAGACCATGACAGAAACAACATGCAGTACCAAGAAATGCTATAGACACATTCACAAGTTGTGCTCCATTACGTGACAAATGAACGGTAGTTGTTGCAATGGGAATGGGATAGCATCAAACAAACAAAAAAGAGAAAGAAAACAAATTAACAAGCTTTGGGACACACAATGTACTAACACCTCCTTCCACATGCTTGGGATGCATGGGAATTTCAAAAGGCAGCTGTTTTTATTTATACATGTGCATATATATAAATATATTAAAATATAGACTTGCAAAGAGCATCCCATAACCAGATTATTGCTGGCTTACATAGTGCAGCTGAAAGCAGATGTGTCACAGTTAAGCTAAATGAATAAATGACTCCCCAGAAAAGTCTCACTTCACCTTCCACAGTCCCTCCTTTCCCCCACTTCCACCATCCCTGGCACTCACTGAGTTAAGAGGTAAAGCATTCAACCAGTTAATCTAACCTGCCTGCAAGAAAAAGAGGTTAATTTTCTGCCATTTTGGTGAGCTAATGTAATGTGTAGACCAGTTTGTTCTCTTACCACTGTCAATTCTTTGCCAGCTGCTTTCCGGAAGGCTTTAGTCCACCTAATCTTCCTAGGATTTCGCTTCTTCTTAAAGTTTTTGTGGCACTTTGACTTGCAGAATCTAAATATCTTGAAAAAGAAGACAGAGTTTGCAGTTAAATTATGTCATTCCTGCCCAGTTCTGAGCAAGCGTGATATCAAGCAGAGAAGCTTCTCTATCACCAGTCACTGAAAATGGCACTTACCCTTCAAATTCTCATGGTTTAAGTTGCTCTATCGTTACTAAGCTTTACGTGGGATTTTATTTTTTATCATTCTGAAAATGAACCTGCACTACGGCAATTTAGGGTGCTCTATTCACGTTCTCAAGTCAGCATAGATAAATTTGGGGGGTTACCAAAAATTCTAAGGCTTAAGTATAGCTGGCTATTTACTTGGCTTGAAATCCAGAAGAAACACGGTGATACCCACATTCTCATCCTGTCAGATTACAGATTTCCCATAAATTCAGTGCTAAAGAAAATAGGGATCTTGTGAATTAAGACTATCCTACTCCAAAATACAAACTGCAAAGCATGTACACAAGGAAGAATTACCAAAATTGAAGTCAAATTCAATTGTATTCTTGAAGTCAACAACTTAAAAAAATATAATTCCAGTTTCCTCGGGCTGATAAATATTTTTTTTAAAGCACTTTAAGTTTTTAATGTAAAGGAAAATTAGTCTGTAATATAGCTAACTCCTATTGAAAATATCATTTTTAAAGCTCAGTTTCCAGAGCTTAAACATAACTAAAACCCTGCCTTACTGCTTAAGGAGGTCTGTGATTAAATATGAGCCCAGTCAGGTCATTCATACCACACACCTTTATTCTGCCCACGAAATAGGAGCTGGTGGGCACCTGCCCTCCTCATAACTGGGAGGAGAAGCAGCTGAAGTTCTTACGAAGCCTGGAATGATTATCAAAGCACAATCCACAGGGCAGCACTGCTGTGAAGACCACACGATCGTAAGAACAAAGTTGTAAGAACTTTTCTTTTCCCATTACGTTATTTCTAGCTATTTTATCTCCTCATTCTATGCCCTGAGGCTCAGGCACACACAGCTTRAAGTACCTGCCCTGAAAATAACTATTGGGAACGAAAGGCAAAGGTGCAGCTTGGCACCCGGCTTGGGCACACGCCGGCGGAGGCGCCCTGTGTTTTCAGACACGCCGGCAACGCGCACAGGGGCTTCCCTCACCCCGCACGCACCGACACCCGAGCGCCGCGGCGGTGGCGCGGGGGAGGGCCGACACGAGGGCGGAGGGACCAGCCGCCGGGGGTACCTTGCAGTCGTTGCGCACGAACATGACGCCATGGCCCGGGTAGATGGGCCCCGAGCAGAAGTAGCACTTCTCGATGCGCATCCTCGGCCTCGCGCGTCGCCCCGCCGGAAATACGCGCGCGCCTCACGGGAAGGGGCGGYGGCCAACGGCCGCCCAACGGTCGCCGCGCCCCCTGGCGGCCATGGCGCGGCCACGGCGCATGCGCAGGACACCGAGGTGGGGCAAAAACGSCCAACGGCCACCGGGAGACGTTGGCGGGCGAGAGGGCGGCTTTGAACCCCAGCGTTCTTCTGTCCCCGGGAGAATCGCTATGGAGGGGCCCGGGCACAAGTCACAAGGGGTTGTTCTCGGCTGTGCTTTGTCATCAAGGGCTTCTCCCTTCAAAAGATGGGATAAAGGAGTGAAGCGAAAACATCCTGCTTAGAACACTGGGGTAGAGCCAGTAAGGCAAGCCATGGGACCAGGAATCAGGCCCAGATTAAAATCAATAGTTGATTTGCTCTGCAGTTAGGAAGATTACTTCTTGCTCCATTTCCTTACGTGTAAGATGGGTGCTTTCACCACAGGGAAACTTTTTTTTCTTTTTTAAGCAGAATTTGAAGTACTACCTAAAACTGATGGCTCTGCATCCATTGGTGTAAGGTGCCCTTGCTCCCGGTGTTCCCTCTGCCACAACTCCCCGTTTCTTGTGAAAGAGCCACAGGGCCGGCTGCTCTGCACCTCCTGGGGCTGCTTAGACCTGGACCTTCTCCGTTACCTGTTCCTCAATCCCCAGGCGCAATCCCAGGCTTSCAGTGTCGAGTCCACCTCAGGACATGAGGCTCCAACACCAGAACTGCCACTTCACCATTTAGAGGGCCCTACCCACCAGACCAGGGCCAAATCCATGTGCTAAATAGCACTAAATGGCACACGCCTCTAGGGCTGTTTTGGGTTTCTGGAAGAACTGAAAGAGCAGGGTTGTATCRCACCAGAGGGAAGGAAGGAAACACAAACCGCCTTGGCGCGGCAGACACGGGCAGCTCACCATGCGCTGAGGCGCAGCTGGAGCGCGTGAGCCGCAACTAGCGCCCGGGTTTAGCAGCCCGGGAGCAGCCCCTTGGCGCGGAGGGCGGCCGCGCTGCACAGGGTGTTGGTCTCATGCTGGTGCTGCAGGGGACGCGCCGACAGAAAACGCCAACCCCGCCAATCAGAGGAAATAGCAGAGACACAGAGAGGAGACGGTATTGGCAGGGACGCTGTGAGGACGCTTAAGTTTATAACTAGAGGCAAAACCACAAGGCAGTAAACAAGTTTGCTTGGGTTTAGGACAGCTGTGCTTTGGCATATGCAATTACCAGCTGCCTTCACTTTTACTCTGATTAGTTTGAGTTTCCAGCTCATATGACTTTTTTTCCCATGGGCTTATTTATTTATTTCACTGCAAATAGCTTGCTCCCGGCACAGCATTATCTTGTGAGATCCTTGGTGGCTTCTGTGATTTAAACAGGGCAGACTACAGACTCCACCACCAATGCCTCCAACAGACAGATAGGATAGGAAGGCAAGCATCTGCAATTAGATGGTTTTCTTTCCTCCTTGAGACAATTTTCATATCAAAGTGCTAATCTCTTTCAAAAGCATACCCAAGACAGAGTCATTAGACAACTTTCTCATAGACACATGTACTTACAGGTTTGGGTTCATAAAGAACAACATCATGTAGGTTGGACTGCATTTCTGGAGGCCATGTATACCAAACTCCTGCTCCAAGCAGGACAAAGCACATCAGGTTGCTCAGGCCTCTGTCCTGACCAGCTGGAGCTTTTAATATCTGTGTGGATTCCACAGCTTCCCAGGGCTCCAGTTCCAATGTCTGATTACCTGCATGGTGAAAAAAAATTCCTAATATCTAATCATCATTTCACTTGCACCTCTGATCCAGGTCTGGTTCCATCTTCGGGAGCCCCTGCCATTACACACTTGCAGGCAGCAGCAAGGGCTTCCTTTGCCTTCTTGTCCTAAGGCTGGGCAAACCCGCTGCGCTCCAGCCCGCAGTGGCCTCTGCTAGAGTCCCTCCAGTCAACATTTTTCCCATACTGGGGAGCTCAAAAAGAGGACACTGTTCCAGATGCCACAGGGCCTCCTTGTGCCACAGTGAGGGCTGTGACGGCCTTTTGCTGTTGCCTGTTGCAGTTGAGGGCAATGGCCTTTTCGAGAAAAAATGCTTTCAAGCCAGTCAGTACTCAGCCAGTATTCCTGCACGGGGTTATTCCACCCAGATGCAGGGCTTTGCGCTTGCCCTTGTTAAATGTCATGGCATTCAGGCCTGCCCATTTTTCCAGTGTGTCAAGGAACCTCTGAACAGCAGCCCTGCCCTCCAGCCCATATTACCACATGTGGGCATCCACATGGCTCCTCAGGAAGGCAGCTGGTCTGAAAAATAAGGCTTCTCACCTTTGTAGAAGTGATGGGAGATTTTACACAACGCACTGCCTGATTTGAATTGCTTTGAGCGGGCTCTGTGCTCACATTAGCAGCTTCCCGAGCGTTCTGTGAATGCAAAAGTGTTTGCACCCCCAACACCTGGCAAAAGAGATCAGAACTACACAGCACCTCCACTGTCCTCATGAACTTAGTATTTGAACTAAAAAAGCCATAAGGTAGGGAGAAAGTGCTTTTACACGGGTCACCATTGAACTAAGACAAAGCAATACAGTTAGTTCAACTAATACAAAGCTGAGATCAGGAATATTTAACTATTTTATGCTGTCAAGAAATCCTGGGACAAAACATCTCCAAGTAAATGCTTTCCAAAGCTTTCTGCTCCATTACAGTTTCACCTGATACTGGATGGAGGCTTTTCTTGAAATAAAGTTCCTCATCACATGAAAACTCTAGACCAGTGCWAGACCAGCAAGATACTGTAATTCACAATCAGTAACCCATTTACCATGATTTCTCATGAAAGCTAAAAAGGGAGCAAACTTTACCACAAAATAATTAAACAGAAATGAACAACAAGATTTATGGCTTTACATCAAAGCAATTTTATGTAGACTCTATACAGTAAATAGTTACATACGCAGGACAAAAATATGACAGTTTCAGTATTTAATATCCAATTTAAATGCATGTATCCAAAAAGAAATATATTTTTTACATCTTTTCAGTAGTCACTTAGCTCAGTGGTTGGCTGCAATAATCCTTACTGCTTTCAGGAACTGGATGGAGCTGTAAACACAAGAACTCCCATTAAAGTTAATGTACGACAAAGTTCCACTGCAATCTCTGTAAAGCAGAGTTGCTTTAAAAGAAATTCAGACACTGAAGTACACTGAAGTGTGTTGTGTCCTACAGTAGAGTTTAATACTCCACTGGTCACAAGCATGATGGTAACGTCAAAAGGCACTCCGAGTTAAACGACAGTAACTCCGGTCCACAAACATTTTAGATTCTTGGTATTCTGTAGTAGAAAAACTATATTTATTCAATATAAATTGTTTTAACTTCTGTCTTAGCAGTCAAATTATATTGCACTTTCAAATATTCTGTGTATGTTCTGATAAAAATCTAATATTTACATCTTGTGTTTGTTAAAGAAAAATACATTACCTTTAAAATACTTTAAGAACCAAGTTTTAACACTTATTTTTATACTTCTAATATAGCCAGAGGCTACATCAAAGATATAATTTCATAATTAGATCCTATTCTAGTAAACATTTTGGTCCTTTCAAATGTTTTGTTATGTTGCAATTCATGTTGACAACTGATGTCAATGTTTGCCTGAACTTGCAGTAGCCAAACAGATAGAATATTTAAATAAATAAATACATAATTTCTAAAAGAAGTAATAGCTTTGGAGTTTTGTAAACACTTACAGAAAGTCTGTGAAAAGATTCGGTTTGGCGTGTTGTGATTTTAATTGGCAATACTTTAGACTGCCAGGGTAGGCACATCTCATATCAGATTAGGGAAAAAAACAACAACAACTAAAAAATACTGATTTTTCCTTGTGTTGTCATAAGAAAAAATAAAAATGATCAAGGAGTAACATTATCCACTGAAACAAAAAAGAGACATTCATGAGATCTTCAAAAAGAAAAGAAAAGGCAAGGACAGGGAGCAAATCTATTGAACACAACCTAAAGGAAATCAACAAGTCATATATGATAACAACGATTTGGATGCAAAGTTTGGCAGGGGGAAAGTGAGCAGTATGAATTTATAGAAATACTGATTTAGACAGAAGTGGTATCTTAGACAGCTGTGTCTCACAGAGGACAATCACTGTTCATTTCTCAGTCCCAATTTGAAGGAAGGTTCCCAATCTGTGTTTGGTAAAACCAATTCAACATAAAGCACTAGCTCTTATGAGATTCTGCTGACGTCTAGTTTGCCCTGCGTTCCTGCTAGGATATGAGAGCCAATATAAAAAGGAATAAAACAGCAGATGTACACTTATGCCATTTACATATAAACGTATGCATATTCTAAAAATTCAGATGATGCCAGGAGGTCTCAAACATGTGTTGGATATGTTTCATATAGTACAGTTGTAGTTTAAGTGTTCAATTTCATGACATACCTAAACTGCTTTAAATGTGCACCTGTTGTGCTTCTCTGGACAGTTTTTTATTCCACATAGAATAGTTCTCTTAGTTTTCATCACTAGAAGCTAATGGTTTGTAAGAGCAAAGAAAAGTTATTTTGTGCTTTTGTGGGAAAATTAGGGTTTGCTCTTCATGACTTATCTAATGATGGAATGATAAAACATTTCTGTTCAAGTAGAATCAAGACCTGTTCAGAATCATGAACGCTGTTGGTGAACTTACTGTTAGCAGAGAATAAGAGCGCTCATGTTATTTAATCTATGTGCTTAGTCTGTGTATGCAGAGAAGCTTTAAAATGGCACCTGAGAATGCTGTGCAGATGCCCACCCTTTCCTATTGTCTATACATATTTTTTCTACATTTGGTGATGAAAACTCCCCTCCTTTTCTGTCCTCCAAAGAAGRGGGCTCAGACGATGCCCTCTGCACATAAATTGCACATAAATTGCACACCTTCCAAGCAAGAGCCAAAATTATTCAAAAGGAAACACCAAGAATTAATATAGCTTCATACTAGAACTATATGACACTGTTGGTCCATAAGTTAAACAGTTAAGCTGCAGCTGTACTATACCTTAGCATACACATTAAATTCAACTGTTGTAACTCGGCTAGCAGCCACATTTGCCTTTGTCTTGCTCCTCGTTCAGGTGTTCCGTAGAGCTGTGGCCGTTGGAGCGCACGACCCCTTCGGGGATCCAGGATTTATCCACACACCGTTCCATGCGCTTCATGATCAGGTCAAGCAGAGTATCGATGGCTTTGCTTACGTTACTCCCAGTAGCTGCACTGGTTTCAAAATAGGGTATTCTGCAGAAGATTAAAAAGAAAATACAAAGAAATTTAAATTACACAGTTTATACTCATAGGAACAAAACCCAAGCATGATTACTGCCACATATTGCAGACACACCTGAAGCTGTCATTGCTATTCTGGAGGAGAAAGACACTAAGTGCTCTAAGTGCTCAGGGGTCTGAAATGCAAAYGAAATGGCTCACATTGCAGATGGGCCAGGAGGATAAGCATGAGTTCACGTTGCAGAATGCACATTTTACAGAGAACCGGTAGGTAGGAGTTCCCCAGATGATGCTCCTGAAGTCTGTTTTTCCAGTCCTGCTCCCCCACAGGAGCCTCGGCTGCTTTGCACAGCCTTGCCTGTGCATCAGCGTTCCCCCTGCCCCTCTCCAGCTCAGCTGCAGCACTGGGAGATGGGAGCGCTCCTGTGCACGTCCCGCTGTGGGCAAGRCAGGAAAACCCACAGTGACTGACCATCACTACAAAAGGTGTCACGGGGCAGGGCAACTCTTGCTTTAAAATRCTCACAGCAGCCCCAGCAGATGTACTTCTAAGGCAGCAACATTTTGCATCTGCAGCATAGAAGAGGTAGGGATAAGATATTCTCCTATTGAAGTCACCAGCCCCTCCTCCCYTATTGAGCCCTGCGGTTTTCACACGTAGCTCATAGCAAATAACTGTGGCCAAACATGAAAAAAACACCCGGATAAGCCGGGCACACAGATCAGGAGCCCTGATTTTGGAGGAAGCAGTGCACCCCTGTTAACATGCAGAAGGCATTCAGGGTATTTCTGCTCTCTTCGCTACACTGAATGCCCCATTCCTATAAAGATATTGAAGTAGCAGATAAAAAAAGGGGAGAAAAAAATAGCAGAAACCATGGAAAGGACAAAAGCTTCAGGCTGTCACTATGTTATGGTCCATGTTGCATCAGACCTGAGGGAGCATTCTCGAGCAGACACCTGTGTGCTTTCCCACAGCGTGTCTGCACTCGGGAACTGCTCCCAGGCTGTTCCTGCTCCTGCAACCTCTCCTGCAAACCCTCGCTCTTTTAGAAGACTGAGACATCTCGGCCGTGCTCAGGCTGGGGTGTGGGGCACCACTTCCTGCCGTGCCGACTGTGACCCTCCTTGCCACCGTATCTTGTTTCAGTTTGCTTCACTGTAGACTCTATTTAAAATATTTATCCTGTGTGTGTACCATGCTCAGCCCAGTTAGGTCTTGGCTGCCAACAAGAGCTTCTCAGCACCTTGGCACTGAACATACATTTTTGTTACTTAGTGCTTTCCATTACTGCYGAGGGTGAGGAACCCTGGGGCTCTCTGCTACCCACAGGGTGGTGCTAGAGCAGCTCCCTTACTGCAATTCTCTAAATAATCACTTCATAACTTGAAGTATTTCTYGTTTATCTCCAATTTGCAAGATCCAGTGAGGGGTCAAAAATACTACATTCCTGTATTTACGTCTCCTATGAACATTTTCAGAACACAGCACCTACTCGTAGAAAGCCTTTCCACAAAAAGTGTGCTCAGGATCACACATTCCCGTGGCGAGCTGCCTGATTGCCGTGGCAGGACTTACCCTGCTGCATCCAGCAGCATTTGGGAAAGTGTAGCAGCTCTGGCCAACCCTGCACCGGGCAGGGAAAGCTCCTGCTGCCTGCAGATGGGATGTGATCTATAACTTTGACTTTTAGTTCCCCCATCCTAAATCAAGTTGGCATTTTCAGCCACCATGAGGAATGTTTCATACATTGTTTTTCGCAGAGGGTGAAGAGACATGTAGAAAGATGTCTAAGACATTGCCACATGCCATCTGTTCCTGTTCAGTCCCCAACATTTTTGCTCCCTCATAAGCAGACAGTTAAAATAACATATGCACTTGCTGTCAGTGGTCTGATAGGGAACTCAAACRAGCACTTTGGTGGGAGGAGGAAGAAGGAAGCAGGTAATATTCAACTAAACCCATTTGTCTCTAATGCACAATTAGCTTCAGATCTGCCTCCCTCCAGTGATTCTTCAAGGTCAATGAAGCTAATTTATGACCAAATCTGTAAGAGCAAATAGTGCAGCCCAGCAGGGCCAAGCCTGCAGACCAAGGCAAACAGGCTGAGGACACAGAGCTCACAGGCTGGGTGTTTTACAGGTTTTTGGATCAGCTCTGTTTCGATCTCCTGAACTGAGGGCACATTAGCAGCTGGCACAGTTTCTGGATTCATTTTTAAATGAAAAGAAATCCAGTTCACATGCTACAAAGCTACTCCACAATGTGAATCAAATCACTGTAAATGCTCAGAAGACTTGTTTCAAAAATACACATTGACTTTCACTACCATGCAAATATAGTCCAGAGATGAGACTCGTAGTTAACAGGGTAGAAGAGTCCTATGGAATTTGCTATGGGAAGAATCCTATTGGAAGAAAGCTTTGCCACTGTTCCATCAAGAATGGGAAAAACAAGGCTGTCATCTCCTTCAGCTGGCCCAACTGATGCTCAATTTGGGGACTCCCAGGGATAGATTAGGAGAGTAAGGAGATGTCTTCCTGAAAAGCAAGGCTGAGGATTGAGCACCTTTAGAGGACAGTCACTGAGCTCAGGAACAAGCCGCGCAAAGCTCCTTGAACAGTTGATGCAAATTTGAACACTTGATCCCCAATGCTAGGTTATTAAAAAATTAAGCATATAATTTTACGCAAAGCTGAAAACATTTACCTCTGAAAGAAGCAAGATATTATACAGGTCAGTYAAGTGCTCTAGAATGGTTATTCTAACAATCACCTTCCAGGACACAGAAGTGGCACTACAGATAGCATGCTTCATGTTGCTTTAAGCAGAACAATAACTGGAAGGAAGTTACTTACCCATATTTTTCTGCAAGTTCCTTTGCCTCTTCTTCTTTCACCACTCTTTGGTCTTCCAGATCACTCTTGTTTCCACATAATACAATGTCAGGGTTTTCACAATATGCATGCATTTGTAGCTGACCTAACAGCAACAACAACAATCAAGCTCACATCTTGCTATTCTCACTAAGAACACTAGCACWTTTCAAGGGCACAAGAACTTCAGGAAAATGACTCATAGAAAGAGAACCAGCATCTTCTCTGTTACAGAGAAGCCGGAGAGCAGGTGGATGTCCACYATCACACACCCAGGGAACAAGATGGGGAGCAGAAGCCTGATAACGTTAGCACAGAAGTTGTATATTTGTAGCTTGAGGAATTATGCTTGCCAAATATCTTCAGTGAGCTGCTAGGAAGGCAGAAAAAAATACTTTCCTGATGTGCCACAGGTGTGGGAACTGCTTCCCCTAGGTATACTAGCCTCGTGACACTTGCTTCCCACTAAGCCCTGTTGGCAAAGCTGAAGCCAAAGCTTTGCACAGGTTTCCACAGGCATCACTTGCAGAATGACAGCACAGTCAGGAATAAAATATTTTCTCAGCTTGCTTTCACACACACTCAAAGCTGAATTTCAGGTAAGCGCTTGAAACCACCACTACCAGTTAGTACAATTATGAATGCAACATTTACTTTCTTTTTCCCTAGAAAGCTTTAGAAAATAGATTTTTCTAAATAGTTCTAACTGCTTCTCAGAAAAGGCACCTATATTTGCAAATATAAATCTGCAAGAGAAAAAAAAAGAAAGAAAAAAAAAAAAAAAAAAACCACACATACTTATCCAGTTCCTGACGTTGAGGAAGCTTTGCTCATTTGTCAGATCAAAGAGTAGAAGAAACCCCATTGCATCTCTGAAGAAAGCTGTTGTCAGGCTACGAAACCTAGACCATAGAAGCAAAGTTAGCTGACACATCTGATTTAGAAATATAACTGCATACTGTTATAAAAAAGTAGTAACTTAAAACTCAACTTGCCAGAACAAGAAATTCATTATAATTATTTCTGCCGGTGTAGGGATTGGCTAACATGAATTGCTAGCGTTCCTGCGGCCTGATCCAGGGCTCAGGAAGTCAAGGAGACCTCCCACTGCAGCCTGAGAGCTTTCGGTCAAGCTGCATATTGTAAAGCACACCCTAATCAAGAACTCAGGAGGAAAGTTCATATAGCACTGAAATTTGTTACTGTGCACCTCAGTTCTGGATTTCAAGATAATCTGCTGCCAGGATATTAGTCTTTTAATAGACAACTAGAAATGAATTCTTTCACCTGACTTCATCTGTCCCATTTTCCCAAGACTTTAAGACATTAACAATAACCAAAACAATAATTATSATAAAAGACTTGAAAATGTCTATATTAACTGGCCAAGAAAAATGTAACCAGAATGTTTCCAAAAGACAGAGAGAAAAAATATAGTCTTATTGTTTTAATTCATCACAGTTGTAACTTGATGAGCACTCATGGGAAGCTGCTTCCATCACCGTTAAAATCAGAGCAAGAAAACTTTACCCACTGAATCATGCAACTAAAACACAACAATCCAAAAATAAAATCATTTACTTACTTGTGCTTTTCTAGCTTCATGACAACCACCTCACTTGCTAGAGGAAAAAATAAAGAAACAAACAATAGCAACACACCTTTCCTGCCCTGCAGTATCCCAGAGCTGAAGATGTATCCTCTGCCCTCTGCCACTAAYGCCATCTGGCCCGTTGGGTCTATAGACCTACAGAAGACAAGTTTGCAAGACAGCGTTAGCAACCCAGCAACATAACTTGCTATTTAAAACCAGCATTTCTGACTCAAGGCTCAAGTACTGCTCAAACCTTCTGCTCTACATGACTTATTAATAGGGCTGCCTTTTAATTATGCATGTAGTTGAATATTTAAAAACAAGGGAAGTGTTTTCCAAAAGACCACTGACTGCAAATTTATTCAGAATGGCCATTGAGTTTCCTTAGGCTTTTTTTAATTTCATTTTTCTATTTTTTACCATTATCTTGTATCCTGTTCGAATTAAAATGTAATTATAAAAGAGCAACAATCAGATCATGCAATCTGGCAGTATATTTGTACATCTAACAGAACCTCATTAGCAAACACAATATACTCATGAAGATAATGACATTTCTTCTTAACTGCCAAAAGATTGCTGAAAAAGAGCTGAGGACAGATCTTATCATATTCTAGCTTATAAAAGCAAAAATTGGATGCTAATAATAAATGATAAAGAGTTTACTCRGCATGAACACATAAAGACATCTGTTAGCTTTGGAAAGATCATATAAAAATAATCTTGGTGTATTATAGAAYGCTACAGGTTCAGTTGTCTTCTTTTCCCTGAATAGTCTTTTAGATTACTGGAGATAAAAAACACATCTTTAAGGACACATAAGCTTGCTGAACTTGTGGGTAATGCAAATCATGTTCACAAAGGGCAAAGCAACTTTTGCTTCAGCCCAATCACTCCTTGCATGGGGTTTCACCAACAGATGCTGCTCTGGGTAGCAGGAGCACAGCTCACCAAGCAGCTGCGCCCATCAACACTGGCCAATTGCTACAGGAGGCCACTGAGAATCAGCTCGTTTTATTCTACATTTGGGGGAGGTAGGTGGGGCAGACTGATTTCCTTCTCTGCAGATTAATTGCACGGTAACTGTGAACCCCAAGCTTCTACACAAGCATCAGCAGGTTAGATTTTTAAAAATAAAACCTAGCTGGCACAAATATAAAAACAGCTGTGGTTTTAAAGGAACATACTGCTTGTGAAAACTCACCACTCTCTTTTCCCGAAAGTCAATGCCCACCGTTGTGATAAATTTGGAATTAAATTTGCCATCTGTGTACTGGTAAAGGAGGCTGGTCTTTCCCACTCCAGAATCACCGAGCGCTAGAAATTTGATGAGGTAATCATAGTCCCCATCAGACATAGTGAGAATTCAGGAGACACCTAAGAGAGCAAAGCAAAAAGCATTAGTTACTCAATAACTGTGTAAGGCATCTTTTGCCCTATATGTAAAATACAAATCCCTATTTTATCTACAAGGAATCCAGCAATGGGAACCATTCTGTACTCTTCAACATTGGTTTCATATTAAACTCTCAATTATGGCAGATGTCAGTATCAAAAACATTTTTTTTTTTGTGATTTATTTCCACTCCTCTTGCTGCAAAGAACAGGGAACACAATTGCAAGAATGAAAACCAAGATCAAAGAAAAGTATTTAAGATATCTGTAGCCTGAGTTGCAGAATGGTTTTAATCGGTGTGCAAGCTAAAAGAAGCTATTTTAAACATATCAGCAATATAATCCTGATCTTGCATTCACTGTGAGGTTATTAATATTCAGAAATAAGTGAGATTCTTCACAATATTTAAATAAAAAGGCACCATATGGCCTCATTCATTAAACATTCATTGAACTTTTTGTGAACACACAACAAGAGCCTCTCAAAGTTGTTTAACTAAAGTTGGTTCATATCTGCATGATAATAATTTCCTATTAATAGCTATGTTTCGGTGTCAAAAAAAAAGTTCTTTTATATCAGGAGGAAAAACAACCAAATAATGTTTTCTTTTAGTTTGCAATGAAACAAGAGAACGATTTACAAGTTTTAAAAGTGTTATTCCTGATAGTAGCAAATCATTTAAACTAACTGTTGATGCCTTAATGTCATTAAATAAACACACACATTTTTCCATGGCCTCATGGAAAAAATTAGGACAGTTTTTCTCACTTTTTTTTGCACCACTGAAACAACAACCGCTTGTAAAATACAGTCTGATCAAAGTGTGGTAACTAGCTGGGATTTATAACACATCCCTTGAGTGTACACTAGAAAGCCTGATATAAGAGCACCAGCACTTTCCTGTTGAGCGGCTACTGGGCCTCACTTCCCCCAAAACAAACAGTAGTGAGTTGCCTTATGTTGTTTTCAAAGCAATGAATGTGTAAAAGAGAAGCCTAAAATAACCACTCTAAAGGCAGTAGAAATTTGCCCCTTTCAAGGGAGATGTGAAAACAAGTACCAAAATGTACAAAAAGATGATGAAATTAAATGCAAAGCATATTTTTTTCCATTTCAAGTGTAAATAAGTATTATTAGAACTGCTCGTAGCTTGAACGAGATAAAACAATCTCAGGTCATAGGCAGCAGCTTGCATCAGTGGCAAAGCACAACTCATTTCCTGAATACCCATTCACAGCTTGAGGTTTGGAACACACTCCGTGTCTCAAGTGCATGCATGTCAATCACCACCATGAAACAAAAGCCAAAATTGACTTTCTGCCAGTTCTGCTCTTGGCTACAGAGCAGAACTGTGATTAGGCAACGTGGCCATTGCCGGACTAACCACGACCCGGTGAAGTCACACTCGAATTTACCAAGAGTTTTCCAGGTGAAGAGTCAGTGGGAAACATTTGGCATCTCTGCCATTTCCTACCTCGACGTCTCCCTTCTGCCAGTCCAGGCATATTTACGTCAAGTCCCCCAGCACAGTAAGACCTTGCAGAAATAGGCTTAGTGTGAGGTGACAGAGGTCACCCCCACTACCAAGGCACAGGCAGCCAATTCACCTTCCGCTGTTGTCTTTTAATGCGATAGAGTAAATGTTGGGGGAAAAAAAACAGCAATCATTAACAGTTATGTTCTAACATATAAGTATATCAAAACTGCAGGCCTGAGCTCCCAGCTAGGCCTGCAGGAGTGATATATAGAAGCGAGTGGAACAGATAATGACACACTGATGTAAGTCTACCTTGCAGCTCTACAAAGCCTCTTTTCACTGAAATGCATTAGTAGGAAGGGAAAACGTTTTAAAAAGCAAACATGAGGATTTTTAGTAAAGATTAGATTTGGTTTAAGCTTCCGACTCTTACACAGCGTTCTCTCGCCCTCCGAAGTTCTGCCAAGAACAAAGGGCTGTTTCACAAACATAGGGCCCCTCTATTCAAGTTTATGTTATTTTAGCTTCACTATCCCTCAATTGATTATTGCTATAAAAGGCAAATCTTAGGGCCAGTATATTATACAATACATTATACAAGGACAGGCTAGCGTTATGGTTCATATTATGCTATTGTCCTCAGAAAGAAATATGTGTCTTATCCTCCTGGTACTTTGTCAGCTAGCAGTAGAGATACAGAACACAGTTCTGATAGCACAGGGGCGATGGTGCCACCTGAGCACTGACAACTCACATGCACTACGAGAAAGCTGCTTTATCTTGCACCCTGATCAGGTCCGTATGGAGGGAGCAGGGCACTAGAGCAGCATCAGTGTTAGCAGCCCGGAGACCCAGGAGCCCATCTGGCTGAGATCTGCCAAAAGCTGCAGTAAAACCTCAGCATCCCTCCTTCATCCCGGGCTGCATGAGAACCTCCGGTTACCCATGGCGGGGTGGGCACCACCCAAAAGATATCGCTGTGTCATACCGGATTTGTCGAGTATCTAACTGCACAAACATGCCCCACCAGCAGCGCTCCCGTAACCTCAGCTCTCCGTATGGCCGCTCGCAAACACAGCCCGGAGCCAGGCGCAGYGGCGAGGAGCCCTCGGGAGCAGGCGGGAGCCTCTTTCCTCGCGCCGCGCCGCAGCGGCGCCGCACGAGCCGGGCGCCTCCGGCTGCGGTTCCGGAACGGGCCGCGTGGCCGCCCCAGCCCCGCAGACACGCGGAGCTGTTTTCACAGCAGTTTCGAGCCTTGTCCTCCTCCCTGGGCAAATATTTAAAAAAAGATCTCCACCCTCGGCCTCTTAAGGCTCACAGTGCTAGGGGCCAGGTACGTCCAGCCCTCTGCTATAGAAATAAGAATACATTCACAGTAAAACATATTCACAGCAAAAACTGCTGAGAGCTGTCTAAAGGAGCTATTAAAGCCTCCAGTATATCACATGCTTTCATTTAGTTTTCTTTAATCTAGTCTGTTATTACATACGGCTTTGCTTTCCCAGCACACTACTTACATGAACATTCAAACAAGGCTGGAATCGGAATTGAAGGCAGCCTCATGCTCTCAGCCCCTCTTTTGAAACACAACCCCCTGGACACAATAGAAGACAATTCTTGCAATTCAACTTTAAAAACTTTAATCTTTAAAAATGTTAAGATACTTAAGAAATTCACCAAGCCGCCACTTCTTGGCAATTACCATTTGCTTGGTCAAATTCTCCACTTACCACTGCTTATGTAGTCCATGTGAAGGGGCAGCTGCCACTCACCTCTGTACTTGTATACATTATATAAAAGATCCGTGTATTTTAAAACACATGCCCTCCCYGCTCCTCATTAAGTACCTGAAAGCCATTTAACCAAGTCACAGACCTGTTACTATAAACTCAACAGTGGGAAATGGAAGAATCAGAGAGGGAGTGATACAGTTAGAATTTATGAGATTGATAGAGGAAGAAAAGTCTGAAATCATTCTAGAATGATTGTTTCACAAAAATATTTTTAAGAATAACAACCCCTTAGCTGGAAAAAAAAATATGGAAATGGTTTAGACTCCATACCAAGCCCTCCCAGGTTCCTACTTTTGCAGCCCCTCTTCTGCACCCTCGTTGCCCCCCTTGCAGCTCCATCCCCGCACACAGCCCTGCGGGTAGATGGATGGATGGATGGACGGGCACTACAGGTGAGTGCCGCTGGCCTCCGACGTCCCCGACGGGCCCTTCCCAGCCCTCGCCTGGTGCGCGCGGGGCCCTCTCCCCATGCACGCGGAGCCACGCCAGCCCCCCGGACGGGATGCTCTGCATGGCCAGCACGGCCCTGCCTGCACAGCCCGCAGTCCTGCGCCTGCTGCACTAGCGAGCACCGCTGCTACAGGCGCAGGCTTTTGCCTCCAGGACACAAGTAGCACAATCCCACTGCACCATAAAGCGCTGGAGACCACGGCAGCCAGAGGGAAGCGGCCTGGCGTGCAGGACTTCTCCTGTGCCGCATGGGACAGGGAAAACGCTCTCTGAATAAAGGCCTTGAACAAAACATGCAAGCCCCATGTCATCGTGCAGCTGCGGGAGGGAAGAAAACCACGGGACAACGAAGGCACCAAGTAGCAACAAAGGAGAACACAAGCAAAAGTATGGATCTATAGATGAGAAATTACACAGACACACAGCGAAACTTGCGGGAAAAGGGAAGCTGCTGTCCCAGCCAGCCCGGAGCCCCAGGATCCACCCCACGCGAGCGCTGCACTCACCCGGCCCTGCCGTGCGAGCGCTGCCCGAGGCGGCAGCAGGAGCGCGGCAGCGGCGCCGCCCGCGCTCACGTGTCTCCCGGGGCAGGGGAGCGCCCCACAGGGCCCCACACGTACAGCCATCGACAGGGCCCCGCGCCCCACAGGGCCCCACAAGGCCATGGAGAGGGTCCCGATGACAGGAGGAAGAGCCTCATGCTGCATCTGCCAGCCCTGCTGCAAGCAAGGAACAGGAGCCAAATGCTGCCCTTGGCCAACGCTTTGTGAAAACTGCCCTGGGCCAAAAGCTCACGGATGTGTGAACGTGACACACGTGAACTGAACTGCGACCTTCTTTTCTTTTCCTTCTTTTTTTTTTTTTAATCAAATAATTGTTATGCTGAGGGAAGAAAGTTAATAAATAAGCACTTTACAGCACTGAAATATCCTCAGCTCCATTATTTTGTCTTTTCTTAGGAAACACATGACCTAGCTTGCTTTAATGTTACCCAAATTACACTTTCTGGGACTTCTCTGTAATATAAATAACAGGAAGGAAAATACGTTTTCCTCTCACAAATGAGRGGAAGAGATTGACGTACTCTGAACATTTATCTTCAGTTTCTCTCAATTGCTTTAGCTTTATTTGACATTTCATGGTCATGCCCTTTTTAGCTTCAACTATAAAGAAATTACAAAGAATTGGAGCATCAACATCTACGACATCTCCTTCTTGGAAGGATCCAAGTGATTTTGAGGAAGTTCAAGGTACATATAGGATTCTGCAAAAATGCATGAAAAAGGAGAGCTGCAAAGCATTAGTTTGCCAATATAACCTGTCTCACCTGAGGATGCTGCTCTACAACACTGTCAGCATTGCTGGAAG